TAGCAGAGATCAGTTATGTGCTACAGGTAAAGTTAATCCTGACTTTTTTATTTTACTGCTTTTTAAACATGGTGTGGGAACAACAGAGCTTTATTCAGACAGTTGATCTTTCTATTGCAGATGAAGATTTTTTGGGTGTTGGCATGGAACAATTTCATTTGCCCCAATTTCATATTACAGTTCATCTCTCAGATCTATGACTACAGCTCTGTAAGAACAGGGTTGTTCTGATACCTGCTTCACTCTCTGCCTCTTACAGAAGAATTCAGAAATTAGGCAGAGTTGGACATCAACAACATGTTTGTTGAGATACTCCCTCTATGTATTTTTGTACTGGGTCTGACTGGGAAGGAGTCAGCTTTCCTCACAGCAGTGTGGTTAGTGTGATTATTGAAATACAGACTTGCTTCAGTGTTTTCTGCACACATATATTTCCTGATCTACAACAGTTCCTCACTTTTTTCTCTTTTAGGCTTCCAGTGAAAAAGACTTAACTATACCAAAGGCTATTTCAAACCTTCCCCTTCTTTCAAGCAGCTTGATGACCATAATTATGAAGTCAGTTAATGTTGTCAGGTAAATGTTTCTATATTAATTTTTCCAAGGTTGGTGCTAATAGTGAACAGTTTATATGTTGTGAAAAAAATGTTGATTTTTAAATTCAAATAAATTTTGAAGAACTAGTTGCTTACTAAATTTACTTGGACTACTTTATAATCCCTTTCTTGTGACATATTACCTGTAGGTATTGATTGCAGGGGGTGATTCCATATTTTTAACCAAGAGTACTTGTCATTTACAAGATTGTTTATCTTAATGAGTTTTTTACTCATACATCTCGGTTTGCTTCTTTCCTTATATACTTACAAACATTAGTCCCTTCAATATAGAAATATTTGGATGGGATAAAATATTTGCCAGAAGTAGAATTAATCCTTTAACTGAACATCTCCAATGAGGTGACATGTATTATAGCTGCATTAAAGTCAAAACATTCAAAATAGTTCAAAGTATCATTCAAAGTAAAGTTACGTCATTTATTTTTTAAGACTTAGACTGTTGGGGTTTTTATATTTGCTGTATTTAGTTGGGGCCCTGAATGTCTTCTAAAATTGTCATAAATGAATTTTGTTTTACTCACTTTGTTCATATTCGATTTTTATTTACGTGACTATACACACTAGACTTATTTTAAATGGCCAAGGGCCTAATGTGTATTCCTTAAAAGTCCTATCATTCCCCATGACTGACCACAACTAATTCCTATTCTTACCTTCCTCATCTGACAGGCACTGAATGTCCCTGTCTCTGCTGTCATGAGAGGTTTTCTCCTACTCAATCCTTCTCTAGTTCTAGTTGAACTTGACAAACAAAAGACTCCAGAGTCCAGCAATAGTCCAGCTAATCCAGATCTTGTTCTTCCATGAGGCAGCAGCTGTCCATCAAGGCATCAACTGTGATCAATTGTTTCATACACCTCTTTTCAAAAGAAATGCAGAAAATCAACAAATTCTTCTGCAACTTTTTCTTGTCATGGTCAAGGAGAATCTTGTCCATTCTTGATGAAGAAAGCTGCAAGTTTGGACCAAATTGTTTCGATGAGTACTTCGGAAAACACGTATCTATCTTCTAGTATTTATCTTTTTGGTGCAAAGAAGGTCTGAATTGGGATATAATTTCCATCTGTTTCCATTGGTGCCTCAGAACTGAGACTACTTTTAAGGCTATTTTCTAAGTCTGTACTGGTAGGCCAGTAATCAGATCCAGTAAGAAATCATTCAATAGCTCAGAAATCTTTGTCAACGCGAAAGACTTTCATGTTATGAAACCTGCTGCTTCTGTTCTGTGAGCACACAGTCATCTTGCTCCGAGTTCTGCAGCATCTATTATATTTTCAGGACTAATTACTCAGTCTCTAACACTGAATTTCAGTCCCTGTGGCAGTGATAATACTGGGAGACTTGGCAATATCTGGCCAATCGTGTGAGTATCCTTCTTTAGCATGGAACTGTCTGTAAAGGAACCAGTTACTTATCTCTTTTACTTATATGTATTTTTAAATAGCTTATTGTTCTGTTCTGTTTTATCTTTGCCTGCAGGCTCATGTGACCCTTTTTCAGAGGGAGGTGTGGAAAAGCAGCTGCACTGAGCCTTATTATAGGTTAATGAAATTACAGTGTTCCTTCATGGAGCTAAAGATTGTGTTTAGTGACCCAAACAGTGATAACACTGAAGTCAGAGCTCTGTTGGGAGTACTATCAATCAGCAGTTTAAGAGCAATATGAAATGGAATCAATTCTTGGTCAGATTAGTCCACAATGATATAATAAAACTGATGCAATACATGAGCGACTTCGTAATGCTTATTTCGGCACCTAAAGAGTTTTCATCTTTCTCAGCTCTTAGAAGCAATATTTGAGCTTCTGCAATGCTTATTTACTGAACTGGTTCTTTTCTTAACTGCATATTTCATTTTGCTATCTTAGCACAATAAAAGCCTAAAGAACTACTGGAGTCAGAACTGGCTATTTATGGTGTCCAGTAGTATTGCTAAAGGTATTTTGAAATATATTAGGGAAAGTTATTGTAACACTACTGCTCTCAGTTTCCCCTTTAGTTCTTCACAGACTATTTATGAGGATCTTGTCCATCTCCTGCTTTATGCCTCTTGTTCTGTTATTTTGCTCTGGTTTTGAGAATTGCTTCTGAGTTCAATTTGTTATTTTTACCATAAACACTGATGACCAATTAGTGCCTTCATTCCATAGTATTGTCTTATTCCATATTGCAGTTTAATTTAGTTGCTAGACACCTTCCTTGGTTCCTTTGTGTAATTTTTTTTATCTTGACATATGTCCCAAAACGCCACTACAGTTTGCTGTGATACTTCCATCTCTTGCTAAAGGTACTGATTGAGTTGGTTTTTATTTCAGATTTTACAATTAACAGCTATTGTGTTTCTGTTGTTCTGTCCATAGTTTCAGTAACTAAAATGTTGTTTGGAAGTGTTTCAGGGCTGTATTTAGTGATAAATGATCTTCACTGTCTTGTAACTGGAAGGCCATCTCTTTTAATTTTTATGAGAAACACATTTTAGGTCAATATGTTAATAATCAGAAGTAGTACTAACAAACCATTGGAGGCATAGAATGTATTTTCTTCAACTTCACTAGAAATGCAAGTTAGAAATTTCAGTGCCAGTTATGTGAGTTAAATTCCAGTAGAACCAGTAGTTTTTTCATGGATTGACTTTCCTAAAATATACCATGAGCTCTTAATTTCTCTTAACAGCTACTTTTTCTGTTTGCAGATTGTTTTATTTTCTTCCCAAGTGATATACTATTCTGCTAACTCTGATATTCTCTGTTGCAGAAGCAGCACATAGTCTTCAGTCACCCAGTCACCACTGCTTTGTCCTGCATGGTCTCTTTGAAGCTGTGGTGGCAGGGCAGCATGATTACAAACATGTTCTGTTCAGTTCTATTTTGAAAGAGACATGGTTTGTAACATATTTTTCCTTTATTTTTTCCTTAGGTCATTTTTAAATGAATTAATGGAATCCATTCTCTCTGGAGAAATTGAAGGGATTTTCAGTCTAACAGCTGCTGTCTGCATTGTGATGGTAATTAAAGGTCAGTTGAAGTATTTTTGTCCTTTTTCTTTCTATGTGCTACATTTTGAAAGCTGAGTTCTTGCAGGATTTAAGGTTATATCACTAGTAAATTATGTTTACAACTGTCTGCTAACTCACAGGGTTCATCTCTATAATCTCATTTGCTGAAATACACAGTAATTAATCCAGGACGGTGAAAATCGAATTTAATGTCTAATCTTTCATGGAACAATCTCTTATGTTAAAAAATATTCTATTAAAAATGCGGGGGGGGAGTTGTCTTTTGATAAGTCATTATTTTTGTCCAACATTTCAACCTAATCTTATTTCAAACAGGTAAGCACAAAGCTTCACTTCTAGATGATATTGCACCTGCCATTCAAAGGAAACTGATAACATGCAAGGATGCTGCCACAGAAGAATCTAGCAGCACTGAAAGGTAACTGTGCTGTGGGAAATTAACACTAACCTCTCCTATCCCCTCTCTGCAATAATCAGCTCTGTCCTGTACTTACATAATACTGTTAGATCGTTCTTAATGATTGATTGCAAGGTTTAAAATAGTGGGGAAAAAACAGTGAGGTATTGAGCCCAGCTCACTATTAAATTTCCTGCCTTTACATCTGCTGTGACTGCAATCCTTACATATTTAGCTTGGGGGTTTTGTCATTTAATTTGAATGTGCTATGGCTTGATCCTGCATATTGGAGGATTCAGGTCTGTTAGCAGCAGGTGTAGAGCAAAGCAAATAGTCTCCCATTTTGGCACTAGGTGTGCAAATCCATACCTATGCAGATGGTACAAATTGAACCGAATGTAACAATGACTTTGAGACCTTTCCATAGGTGATTTTATTTTCCTCTTTTTTTGGGGAGGATTTCAGTGTCATAGCTTGGTGATCTTTTGGGGTAAGATTTTTGAAAGCAATTGTATCTGCAATCATTTATCTCAGACCTGCCTAAGACAGAGTCATGAGTGCTTTAGCCTTAAGTGTCTCAAACTTAAGCAAGGCTTAAAATTTGTGAACATTTGATTTCTGCCTAGTTATTGAACTGCCCATGGAATTGAGCATACAAAGGGGACATTTTCGGCATGAACATAGAATGTGAAGAAAACAAACTGGCTATGAACATCCATCCAAAATGACTGAGAAAGTCAGGAATGAACCACAGTGGCCTAAACATGCAGAGGACCTTGCAGTCTTTTGTTCTTCAAATTGACGATCCTTGTGCTGAGTCAGACAATGGATGTAGACACAGGCTTTAAAATAAAAAACCTGAACAACAATAAAAACCTCAAAAAACCCAAAGCAAGTCAAAAAACCCGAATTCATTTGCTCAAAAATTTTTTGCACAGCCCTTGGAACCTGAGCACACTTTCCTAATCTGCTTTTCTAGTGGATCCCTGGCCTGAGGCATCCTGTCCTCTGGCACTGTAGTGACTACACATGTCTTGGGCAGCTGTGCTGTGACTGTCCAGAGGATGGAGCTCTGGAATCTCTTCCACTCCTTAGCAGAGGCCTGTAAGAATCCTGGAGAGTTGCTTGGCTGTGAACAAGTGTCCTTTGCTCGGGACCTAACTTAGAAGCAAAACCAAACACAAATAAACAGAACGCAGTTTTTCCCCCATGAAATCATTTAACATTGCGTTGGCAAGTGTCCTACTAGAATATTTTAAAAAACAAGAATAATTATCTGGAAAAGAAGGTGAGCAGCAGGGTATCAGGATTCAGTTTGCACTTCTTTTAATCAAGACAGTAGAAAATGCTGAGAAATTAGAACGAATTTTAACATGATTAAATAAATAGGCACATTAAAATGAATAATTGCTGCCACTTGAGAGCACTACTGACTATAAATTTCAGTGAGAACACCGATAATTGCTTTGTGAATCTATAGGATCATCTCTGCCCAGTGAACAGGGACAAATCAACCTACGTGTTGGGGCAGATGAAGAGCATAAGATGACACACAGTGTTTTAATTTCATGATATAGGAATGGGTACCTTTGTGTAATACAAACCCAGGAGATAGTTACAGACTGAATTCAAAAGTTAGGAATATTAACATGCTAATGGGAGGAAATTTTAACAAGAATCAGAATTGCAACATGATAATTAAGTTCAGAAGCTATCGCACAGCTTTGCAGAATTTGGGAAAATTCACATTTGTACAGGTATGTTGGGAATTTTTCCCTCCAGAAGTATAAAAAGATTCATGGTGGAAAGAGATTTGGAAGGAGTTCTGCAGTGGTGAGGTTTTGTGTGATGAATTTAAAGCATGTTTGCACTTTTTTGGGTCTCTGGTTGCTAATTTGAAGAGAGTCTTCTAACAGCACTGCACTGCTGTGTGCTAAAATACATTACTGGGCTTTTAACTCATGCCTAATACTAATATTATTTCTTGCTTCTGAATGCATTATCTCATAATAACTCCTTGAGGGATTATTTTATTTAATACCCAGGTATACCAGGAAATGGTGACATTCTTTTAATTTCCCAAGAGACTTGGCATTCTGTGCCAGCATCTTAAATTTAGACTTAGAAGTCATCTATTACATATTAGCACAAAAGAAAAAAGCTGCCCTTAAATGAGGAATTGTTGCACCAATTCAGAAGCAAAACCTTTCATTGTAATTTAGTCTTCCCCCTACAGCTGAGGTTTTGGATGGCTCTGTGGGTCTATTACTTTGAAAATGCTGTTCAGTGCACTTAAAAATTCTGGACAGCATATTGTATATTGAGAGTTTTCTCAAGAGTAATGGCACAGACGTTAGTTTCGTTTATAAAACACAAATATTTATGCCTAGCAAAAAAATGCAGATGAAGCTGTCAGTGCAGTGATTTGGAGGCTAGGGAAAAACGTCCCATGCTCTATAAACCCAAATGTGCTACGGAATAATAACTTTCACTTAATAGTATATGTTTACTGTAATAACCATTCTGATATATGGCTATTAGAATTCAAACCTAGCTAATGGCTGTGCTGAAAGGTATTTCTTTAGTACTGTCATTCAGCTTAGCTCCCATTGCATCTGTAAATAATGACTCTTGAATTGTCTTGGTATAGAGCTCTGTGTATGATTTCTCTGCTAACTGCCTAAAAGTTCCTAGAAAGGTACCTGGAAAACCTGACTTAAACTTGTCTCTCTGGGGAGGTGCACAGTTATCCCAAATGGTGCCTTGTTGTACAATGTGTCACAGGTCCAACAGTATCAAGGTAGAAAGCTCAGGCTTGGAAAAAAATTTGCCACAGGTGAGGTGAAAAATTATAAAGATTGAAGAGTGAAGGAGAAGTAAGTAAAAGAATGAAAAGTGGTCTAGGATGAATTATCAGTAAAGGATTTCACTGTATTTGAAAAAAAGAGTAACAATGCTGTGAGAAAACGAGCGGGTTCTTTAAATAGATGATGACATATTAGAAAATGTGCTTGAATTGACATAGTAATTTAAACTGGCTTGCTGTTGGTTACAGAGATGATCAGCAGAAAAATGGAGAAGTTGAAAGGAAAAGAATCCAGCAGTTTCAAAAGGAATTTGTAAAGGCATTTTTAATGCTTAAACTAATATAGACTAACTGGTCAAGGAAATCATGTGGTAGCTCTGCTCTGAGAATCAAATAGTCGAGGATTGATTTGGCATTTAGCATTTCTAATCCTGTTACGCATTGTTTTGTGTCATTTCAGATTCCTGTATGAATCATCTCTGAAAATTTTGGATGAATTTTTGAATCCTTGACTATGTGGAAGCTTTTACCATGCAAGTTAAAGGAGGAAGATGTATTGCTCTTTAAAAAATTTTATCTTGTAAATTTATGAATAGTTAAAGTTTGTTTTATGCTATTCTGTACATTTAAAGCAAGCAAAATATAAAGAAGTTTATATAAGTTATGTAATACAAAAGATTTTTCTACAGGAGGTTATTCTGTATAAAACTGTCTTACTGGGGGGATGTAAAATGAATTTTTTTGTATCATTTTTTATTAATTGTATCAAGAATATTTTGCAACTGAGGTAGCACAAAACCTCAGTCCCAGGGAAGACTGTAGAGCATATTCCTGGAGGTTATGGAAATGAATTTTAATTTCAAGACACATAAAGGACAAAATGGTGATTGGGAATAGCCATCATGGGCTTCACCAGGGACAAATTCTGCTTTAACCAGCTTGATTTTCCTCTGTTTTGTGAAAGAAGAGCCAGAATAGAATGCTGCATCTCCTGTCTTTGCTAAGTACTTTTATACAGTCTTATACAGTGTCGTGGGTTTAACCTCTGCCAGCAACCCAGGACTGGGGGAGGACTGTTGAGGTTTAACTCCACTCCAGTTTATATACTGGGCATGATATTCTGTGGTGTGGAATATCCCTTTGGCTAGTTCAGGTCACCTGTCCTGTCTGTGCTCCCTCCCAGTTTCTGCTGTGTACCTTCTCACTGGCAGAGCATGAGATGTAAGAAGATGATGTCCTTGATTTCAGATAACCACAACCAAAACATCAGTGTGCTACCAAGATTATTCCCACTCGGAATGTAAACACAGCACTGTACCAGCTACTGAGATGAAATTAACTCCTTCCCAGCCAAAACCAGCACAGCCAAACTGGAGAGAGAAGTGGGATGGACAGGTGTACTTTGAAGGTGTGTGGGAAACTGGCTGGACCATCATACTTGAAGAATGATGATGCTACAGAGTGAGGTTGACAGCTGCTTTCTGTGGCCTTCCTCAGGGCAGACACTGGTGCCAGTGCTATTTTATGTTTTTGTGAAGAGCTTGGGCAAAGGGATGAACTGCAAGCTCGTACTGTTGGCAGATAACACCAACTTGGGAGCAGTGGCTGCTACTGAGGGGTATGTCATTCAATGGGACCCTGACAAGCTGGGCTTAAGGATTAACCAGCCTCATGGTGTTCAACAAAGACATGTGCTTATCTGCCCCAGTGGATTAGTCCTGCACACTGGTGTAGGCATGTGCAGCAGGGCAGCTTATTGCTGTCTGCATCTGCCTGGATGAGAAAAGACTTTTCCCATAGCCACACATGAAGAGACTATGAGACAACCGAAACAACTTGCAGCAAGAGAATTTCTTGTTGGACTTACAAACCAATCATTATGACAGTGAATTGAAACTGGAAGTGGAGCTGCAACAGGTTGTTCAGAAAGACTGTGGAATATTTGTCCTTGGAGATGTGCAGAACTTGACTGACAAGAAGGGCTCTGACCATCCATTGTGTCATGGCTTTGGAGTTAGTCCTGCTTGAGCTGGGGATTGGGCCAGATTCTCTCCTGAGCTTCCTCCCAACTTGAATATTTGTGTGATTCAGTGCCCAGTACACTGGAGGGGAGATGCCTTAGCTATTAAACACAGGCTTGATTAATACATACCTCTATTTATGTATTAATCTATTAGCTATTTTTATAAATTAATACTAATGATGCAGATAATGC